ACCTTTCCTGAAAGCTTCCAAGGCCTTCCCACTCTGCTCATCTTTTTCTCTTTTTACACTGCTAATGTCTTCTGCATGTGGACCTTTCTGGCACATGATGCTTAGAGAGCGAAAATGCGTGTGCTGCAAAGAATATCTGGTGAGATATATCATTATAAAGCATGCTATATGTCCAAAAAGAAGATTAAAAGAAAGTTAGCTTAGATATACACATCTTAAATCTGTTTTATGTTCTTTTGCACCAGCCTAAAAATTTAAACCATGTTATCTGTCCAAAAACTTTAAAGTGGTTGGCATTTTATTTGTTATACTAACCCCATTTTCTGCAAGAATTTATGATTTTGTGATGAAGAATTTTATTCTCTTCATGGATATTTGAAACGTATGATTAAAATGAATCAAAGTTAAGAGAGCTACGCAAAATTTTGATGCTATAGGCAGCTTCCAGATTATTTGGACACAGAAAAAATCACTTGTTTGCTTAAGAAAGTGTCTTCCATGAATTAATTTAATGAACGTGTCAATTAGTAGCAATAAAATCATTTAGAAGAAAAAGATATATAGAAATTTACGCAACAAAATTGCAAGACATAAAATTTTATTTTTTTCAAAATGCAATTAAGTCCTATCTCAAAAATATAAGAACCTTACACGAAGATTAAAAATACAGAGATATAAGCAGTGGCAGAAGCAGACAAAGTGGTGGTGAAATTAAAAGTGATAAGTGTTTCAGCATAGAATTTACATCTCCTTAAAATGATTTTAAACTATTAAAATTATTAATACTAGATTAAAAGTATAACTAAAAATAAGTTATTATTAAATAATTATGTTTTTGAAATAAAATATTTAGTGAATTATATGACAATGGGTTTTGTAAAAATCGATAGATGACCGAGCGCATCTCTTAGGTACCATTTAATTTCTGGCACTGAATATAAACTATAGTAATTTGCCAAATAATCCTTTATAAATGTTCTTCAACATAGTTCTCTCTAGGAGAAAAAATATTAAATAAGGTTCAAGTTTATATTTGATGCAAATTAATAATAAATGTATGACAAAATAATTGTGGATTTATTTTCATTGAAGAAGTTAATTCAACTAAATTGTTATTTATTATAATTTTCTATTTTGAATTTTAAGCATTCCATAATAATACTAATGAAAAAACAACAAAACTATTTTAGTAAAATTGATTGGGGGAGAGGATTAGCTCGCTGCTGTTTGCCACTGTATCCTTTCAATCAAAGAAGTGCCCTCCTAAGAATGAACACTTGGGTGTCACATACAGCTTGGGCTATTTTCCAAAAGAGCCTAATGCTGTGTGGGAGAAGAGTTCTGTCATTCACAATATTGTGTACGAAAAATATGTTAGCACAAATCTCACAAAAGATGAATAGCTCGGATGGAAGATACAAACCATCAAACAAGGTTTTTGACGATCGTCTGGGTTGAATACTGGTGAAGGAGGCGTCTGGTTCTAGCAAAAGGAGGAAATTTCTCACAGAGTGCTGATCGGCCCTCAAGACGATCGGCAAAATGCATTCCTTTTTGGATAGACTATCGGCGGACTCAAGGCATAACAAATGACCAACAAGCTTCCTATCGATCGAATGAGTCCTCTGATCTTATCACATGTGGTTATATTTGTAATTACCAAAATGACTCCTTAAAAGGCTAATGATTGAGTTTCTTCTCCATGTTGTTCTCCTCTTCTTATTTTTTGCATAAAGCACACTCACTACACCTTTTAGAATGTTGAATTTGAGATTGTCCTGTAGAGCACAACCAAGGAACAAAGTGAGAGAGAAAGAGAGAAGAGGAAATGAGAAAAGTTCGATTGAACTGTTCATTAGCTATAAAATATAGAAATGACCCTCTATTTATAAGTTCAGAAGGTATGAAGTAAACAGTTACTTGCTTTCCTTTGCTCGATCAAAGACACTATAAGGTATTTTGACCATACATAAATACATGAATAAATAAATACATGGATAAATAAAAATATAAAAAAGATCTCTTGCTTGGTTGGTACATTCTTCGTTCTTCTAAGAGTGAGGGCCTTTGGTTGGCCAGGCTAAGGGCCTTCGGTCGACCGGGCAATGGACCTTTTGTCGACCCAATTATGGGCCTTCGGTTGGCTTGAATGTGAGCCTTCGGTCGGCCCGACAATGGTCTTTCATTCGGCCTGAATAAGGGTTTTCGGTTGGCAAGGTTGGGGCCTTTGGCCAGCCTGGTTATGGCCTTCAGCAGTTTGCTCCCTTGAATTGACTATTAATCACTGCCTCCTTTGAATGGTATACTTATTTTCAAGATGAGGCTAGGCTATCGGGCATAGGAAACTTTATCGTAATTTGGCAATTAGTTATACCCTTTAACAGGAAAGCCGCTATGGCGGTTCGCGTCGGTGCCGCATTGAGTGTTTGTGGTCTAGGAAGGCCTTAAGGTTCTTAATGAGATGATCTGTGGCGTCATTTTGATCAAGCGCTTGGCAAGTCCCCTTTTTTGGTTGGGTATTCCCTGATCCTTACCCTGACGAGCTACTAGGCATCGGATTACATAGGTTCACGTTGATGCGACCTTTGACTTCTGGTGGGTCATCTTTGACAATGCTTGTCTTTAGGTCTGTAAGAATTATTTAAGATTCGTGCTGATATATTATGGGCGTACAAAAATTAACTTATTTTAATATGAAAAAGCTGTTTTATTTTTTTGTATGCTTATGTTGTCAAGACAATATCAAAATTAACTGATTTAGCTTTTATTAAAATCTTTAAATCATTAAAAAAATTAAAACAATCATATACAAATCAAATCCTAAATCAGTCAAAATTCAACTCAATCATATAAATAGAAAATATTTATAAAAAATACCTCATATATTGTCATCATTTTATACGGAGACAATATCCATGATATTAATGCTGTCATTGTTTAAGACGTCGAAAATATCAATTTATTTTTTTTTAAATGTGAAATGTTAGAAGATATTTTAACCGTCAGATTTTAAAATTCTCTTACCTTTGCATGAGAAGGTGTACGTGATGAATAACATAAAAATAGTATATATATATATATATATATATATATATATATATGTG